GTGCTTCTGGAGCGGCCAGTATGACGGGAAAGGCCAAGGAGGGGCATGCCCAGAAGGGTGTGTAAACCATGGGTAACCAAGACTTAAATAAATGGAAACACATCCTGTGTTTATGGATCAGAACTTAATCTAACGTTTTGTTCAGATGACAGCATCTCCAAAATGAGGTAGATTCAACACAGGCCTCATCAGGATCTCAACCCATCCCCCACAATCTGACAGAAACTGACTAGCAGATCGTGAAATTCAAATGGAAATGCAAGGGACCAGAATAAACAAAACCATTCCGAAAAAGAAGAACAAAATGTGAGGACTCACACTTCACAATTTCAAAACTTCTCACACAGCTGTGTGTACTGAATAGCGTGGCACTGGCATCAGGACAGACATGTATATCGCTGGCAAAGAGCTGAGAATCCAGAAATAAACCCTCACATTTATGGTCAATTGAATTTGTCCAAGGGTGCCAAGTCAACTCAATGGGGAAAGAATAGGCTTTTCAGCAAATTGGACAATTGGATAGCCACATCCAAAATAATAGTGTGCTCCTTCCACTCCCATCCACACAAAAAAATGAACTCAAAATTGATCAAAGACCTCGATGTAAAAAGTTAAAATTATAAAACTCAGAAAACAGGAGTCAGTCTCTGTAACCTCGGATGAGACAATGATTTCTTAGATAAAACACCAGAAGCACAAGAGACAAAAGAAAAAAAGTTGATGAACTGGACTTCACTGAAATAAAAAAATAAAAAAACTTGTGTGCTGCAAATGAGACCACTGAGCTGAAAAGGCAATCCACAGAATGGGAGGAGGTATTTGCAAATCATATATCTGATAAAGGAATGGTATCCAAAATATATAAAGAACTGTTAAATCTCAATGATAGCCCAGCATGCTCAGTGGTTGAGCACTGACCTATGAACCAGGAGGTTACGGTTTGATTCCTGGTCAGGGATCAGGGGTCAGGAGTCAGGTCTCAATCCTCAATATAGAGCATGTATCATTGATATTTCTATCTCTCTCTCCTCTTCCTTCCTCTCTACTTGATAATTACACAACTGCAAGTAGAAATCAGCAAAAATATATTTATATAAAAAAAACATACTCAATGATAAAAAGATGAGTAACCCAATATAAAAAAATATATATATTTTTTACAGAGAGGAAAGGAGAGGGATAGAGAGAGAAACATCGATCAGCTGCCCCCTGCACGCCTTCTACTGGGGATGTGCTTGCATCCCAGATATATGACCTTGACAGGAATTGAACCTGAGACCTTTCAGTCCACAGGCCAACATTCTATCCATTGAGCCAAATGGGTCAGGGTGAATAATCCAATTTTAAAATGTGTAAATGATTTAGACACTTCTCTAAGAAAGCTATACAAATGCCAATAAACACAAGAAAGATGCTCAATACTATTAGTCACCAAGGAAATGCAAATTAAAACCATAAGATACCACCTCATACCACCTGGAATGGTGAGATTCAAAAGAATAATAGTGTCCAGATGTGAAGAAATTTGAACTCCCAGATGCTGCAGATGGGAACATAAAATGGTATAGCCAAAGTGGAAACTAGTTTGGTAGTTCCTCAAAATGTTAAAAGTGGAGTTACCATAACCCAGCAATGACATTCCCAGGTGAAATTTCACCTAAGAGAAATGAGAGATATGCCACATAGACACTTTTACACACATGTTCATAGCAGCACTGCTCACAACCGGAGAAAGGTAGAAACAGCTGAAGAGTGCCTCCAGGGGGAAAGGATTCGCAAATGTGGCCCATCATACAAGACTATTACTCACCCATACAAGGAATGAAGCACTGACACATGCTACATGAACATTAATAACACCATGCTTAGAGCTCGGCTGAGAGACTGCAGGGGGAGGGAGAGTGGGGAGTTTGGGGAGGGACAGTGGGGGGGGGGGGCCCTTTCTGAGCTCTGGCCTCTCCTGAGGCCCTGAGCTGTGCAGCTACCCCAGTCTCCCCCTCCCCCAAAAAAACACACCATGCTGAAAGACACCAGACAAAAAAGGAACATTGTAAATGATTCCATTAGCATGAAATGTCCAGAAGAGGCAAATCCATAAAGACAGAAAGCAAATTCGTGGTTGTCAGGGGCTGGGGGGAGATGGGAGAGTGACTGCTAGTAGGTATGGGGTTTCTTTTGGGAGTGATTAAAGTGTTTTAAATTTAGACCACGGTGATAGTTACACAACTGCAAGTAGACTAAATATCTGTGATCTGTAAACACAAAACAGGTAACTACATGGTATGAAATCTCAATACAAATGTTAAAGACACAAGAAAAGAAGGAGCCCCATACTGGGCACAGGAGGTGGTGGAGCAAGGAGCTGGGTGAGAGATGAGGGTTGTGGGAGTGGTGGGGTAGTGTCACTTGAGGAGCAGCAGGGATCGAAGGCAGCCTGAGGCAGCGTGGCATGCTCTGGGACTCTGGTGGTGAGTGGTCCAGGGAGAAAGGTGCCAGGCTTGAGGCCACAGAGCCAGGCTCAAAGGAGGCAAGGCTGGAGGAGGCCCATGACAACAGAGGATGAGGGTGGGGTACGGGACAGAGCACAGGGTCTTTGCACTTGCTGTTCCATCCTTCTGAGGAACTCCTGCTCGAAGAGGTCACCCAGGCCCTCCCCAGCTAAAGCAGGTCTTGGCTAGCCCAGGCCCCTCCACTCACAACAACAGGAAGGTCAGGAGTGATATGACAGTGAATTCAAGAGAAGGCCTGCAGCCATGTGCACACTCAACAAATAGTTAATGAATGAATGCAAGAGCTTAAGCAAAGCTAAAACCGGTTTGGCTCAGTGGATAGAGCGTTGGCCTGCGGACTGAAGGGTCCTGGGTCGGTTCCAGTCAAGGGCGTGTACCTGGGTTGTGGGCACATACCCAGTAGGGAGGGTGCAGGAGGCAGCTGATTGATGATTCTCTCTCATCGATGTTTCTAACTCTCAATCCCTCTCCTTTCCTCTCTGTAAAAAATCAACAAAATATGTTTTAAAAAAAGGAGCTTAAGCAAAGACTACACCAACGGAAGGAGTATCTTCCTCACAGCTCTGCAGCCAGCAAATACTGGGGTGGGTTTGCATGTGTTACAATGAAAGTCATGTAAAAGGGATGTGATTTGGAGACCCAACTCCAGGCAATGGCATTTAGGGCCCGCTGCACTATGAACAGGAAGAGGACCAGTATAAAGGTATAAAGGGTGTGTTTGCAGGTAAAAAGAAAAAAAGATGCCGAGTGAAGAGGGCCCAAGGAGACCCAAGGGCTGGTCACACAGGAGCATAGTGTAAACAGACCTTACGTAGCACACCTGAGGGGTACACTGGCCTGGTTGTTATGACTCAGATTCATTCAATGGGCTCTAGGATGAGTTGAGTGCCCATGTGGTGTCAAATCTATCTTTAACCTGTTTTTGTATGGCCACTTTTAGATTTGTAAACAACTGTTAAAATAAAAAATAAAAAAAAAGCAGCAGCAGTGGACAGTGGATAGAGACAATCTGGCCAATAAAGCATAAAATATTTATCTGGCTCTTTATAGAAAAAGTTTGCCAATCTTTGTTCTGGGATACAAAAAAGACAAGAAGGGAAGGGGAAGGACTTGAATTTTCAATAGACAATTTTTCTACCATCAGGATTATTATTATTATTATTTACTAGGTCTATGACTTTATTAAAGCATAATATGCACTTAAAAATATTATCTTTATTGATTTCAGAGAGGAAGGGAGATAAATAGAAACATCAATGATGAGAGATAATCATTGACTGGCTGCCTGCTGCATGCCCCATACTGGGATGGAGCCCCAACCTGGACATGTGTCCTTGACTGGAATCGAACCTGGGACTCTTCAGTCCACAGGCCAATGCTCTATACATTGAGCCAAACCAGCTAGGGCTATATGCAGATTTTAATGTATTCACAATTCATTTGTTTTAAATTTCTTTGTTAATCCTAGGTGTGAAGTATGTGCATCTTTTACTTTCTCTCTTACTTTTTCTGTGATGAACCCAACAACAAATTTTTTAAAAAATATATTTTTATTGATTTCAGAGAGGAAGGGAGAGGGAGAGAGACAGAAGTATCAATGATATCAATGATGACAGAGAATCATTCACTGGCTGCCTCCTGAACACCCCACACTGGGGACCAGCGCAACCCAGGCATGTGCCCTGACCACAATGGAACTGTGACCTCCCGGTTAATAGGTCGACTGCTCAACCACCAAGTTGACTGTAAAACGTTTGAAAAACTTAAGAATATATATATATATTCCTGGGATATCCTACAAGTGAGGAGCACCAGTGAAGAACCAACACAAAGAACACCTTTAAATCCCTTCGGTGTTCCGGGTTTTGAACCCAGCTTCTTTCGGGGTGGCCCTGCAGGTTAGGTCGCAGCCTCCCTCGGGCCTCGGTTTCTGCACCTGTAAAATGGAAGCGTGGCCGAGAGCTAAGGGTTCAAGCTAAAACTGACCTCAATTTAACCTACTGTGAAAAGGAAATAATTAACAGGACCGACTTCTGGGCTGTTAGGAGAAGAAATTAAAGGGATTAATAATCGCTCGACAAATGACAGTTATCGTTAATGTTACCACTGACGCTACCTAAAGACTCAGACTCCGCCTCTCCTCACCCCGCTGCGGCGCTCAGGAGGCCCGGACCCTGACACCAGCGCGCAGACGGACACTGACCCGACAGTCCCCGACGCGGAAGGTTCCGTTTGTAGTCGATGGGGCCGTAGCCCCCAGGAGGGGGCATGTCCTGCTTCACCTTCGAGGCCGCCATGTTCCCGTGCTTTGCACTTCCGGGCGCGGACGGAAGTGACGTCGCCGAGGGTGGTCGCCGCCATGATGAGTGTGGCGGAAGCTGTCGCGCAGGTCCCGGGTGGGGCCGGGAAACCCAGGATGCTTAGTGTAGCGATCCTACCGCGCGGCAGAACTCAGGCTACGATGGCCGGCTGCAGCCAAGGAATCCTTATTTCTCCTCCCAGACGAGGCGTGGCTCAGCCGGTGTGGACGGCTGGAACCTGCGGGGTTGCCCAGGTCCTTGCATCAAAGGACTTCCCTTTCACCTTCCCTCTGGGGCGATGCGCGGGGCAATCAAGCTCCGGAGGGAGGCAGGTCACCGAGCTAAGCCCCCTTTCCCTCTGGGTCTGTGCGGGCAACCCAGGGCTCCCATTGGCAAGGCTTGGTACAAGTAGGTGGGTGGAGGCGGCAGCTGCTCACATTTGGACTCGCAAGAAGCCACCCACCCCAAACGACCCCCGGCACAGATTCTGCTCCTTGGTGGTGGTCGGGAGCCCTTGATAGTAGTAGCCTCTCATCAGGAACTGATTGTGAGTCATAAAGCCCTAGGGCCCTGGGGAGGGTCCATCCCGAGGCGGGGTGACGCCCGCGGGGGCCCCCACCCCGAGGCGGGGTGACGCCCGCAGTCACTTCACAAGGCAGAAATTGTTACCGGGGCAATAAAAGGCACCGCGGCGGCCGGAGCCTGGGAGTGGGCACATGGGGGTGCGGGTGTGCAGGTGCCAGGCGCCATGGGTTAGGCCCGAGATCGGAGTCCGGCCGCCCCCCGACAGCAGCCGCCTCCTGCTCTCCGCGCGCCCCGGGCGCCACCATGTCGGGCGACAAACTCCTGAGCGAACTCGGCTATAAGCTGGGTCGCACGATAGGTGAGGGCAGTTACTCCAAGGTGAAGGTGGCCACGTCCAAGAAGTACAAGGGAACCGTGGCCATCAAGGTGGTGGACCGGCGGCGCGCGCCGCCTGACTTCGTCAACAAGTTCCTGCCCCGCGAGCTGTCCATCCTCCGAGGAGTGCGGCACCCGCATATTGTGCACGTCTTCGAGTTCATCGAGGTGTGCAACGGGAAGCTGTACATCGTGATGGAGGCAGCCGCCACGGATCTGCTCCAGGCCGTGCAGCGCAACGGACGCATCCCCGGGGGGCAGGCCCGCGACCTCTTCGCACAGATCGCCGGCGCCGTGCGCTACCTGCACGACCACCACCTGGTGCACCGCGACCTCAAGTGCGAAAACGTGCTGCTGAGTCCCGACGAGCGCCGCGTCAAGCTCACCGACTTTGGCTTCGGCCGCCAGGCTCACGGCTACCCTGACCTGAGCACCACCTACTGCGGCTCAGCAGCCTACGCCTCGCCGGAGGTTCTCCTGGGCATTCCCTACGACCCCAAGAAGTACGACGTGTGGAGCCTGGGCGTCGTGCTCTACGTCATGGTCACCGGTTGCATGCCCTTCGATGACTCAGACATCGCGGGCCTGCCCCGGCGCCAGAAGCGCGGCGTCCTCTACCCCGACGGCCTTGAGCTGTCCGATCGCTGCAAGGCACTGATCACCGAATTGCTGCAGTTCAGCCCGTCGGCCAGACCCTCGGCGGGCCAGGTAGCGCGCAACGGCTGGCTGCGCGCTGGGGACTCCGGCTAAAGCCCGAGTTCCCGCACACCCGCTGCCCCTAGCACTGCGCAAGCGCGGCCACCCGCGAGAGGCGCGCTTCCAGCGTCCCGCGAAGCCGCCGCGCACCCATGCGCATGCGTCCTTCCCCCTTTCCTCCTTTCTCGACCGCCGGGGCCACAGTTGCCCGGGTTTGGAATCTAGTTCCTCCTCTACGAACCGGAGAGCGCATGCGCATCCTCGACTACCCCCTCACCCCCTCAAGAAGGCCCCGGGAGGGGGCGAGACCGGAGGATGCTGAAGCATTGCGCCTGCGCGGACTGAGCGACTGCTCTGCGGCCGGAGGAGGCTGCCAGGTAGAGCTGCCCACTAGGGGGCGCACGCTGAGTGCGTCCGTTCCCAGCCCTGCCCCGCAGGCCGCCGCGGGACGGCGCGCTCCGGGCGTCACCCGCGTTGTAATTTGCAATAAACTCGCTCTACCTCGCACCTTGCTCTAGCAATGCCACCCTTTTACGGAGCGGGGAGAAGGGGTCACTTCCCGGAAGGCAAGCGCGGGCGCCCCCTTTTGGAGAGAGGTTGGTTAAGGTTCTTGCTCCAGTTCTCAAAAGGGAGTTGGTGGGATTCGAACTTGTTTGGGCTCCCCCAGCCTGGGAAGAGTCGAAGGGACTTTGAAGTTGTTCCCAGGGTCGTGATGGTCCTGCGAATAGAGATGTTGGGCTAGGGAGCAGAGACCCAGCACCCTTCTCATGTTTTAAGGAGGGAATGGCGTGGGTGGGTTGGGAGACCGTCTCTAAATCAATTGAGCATTTACGATAAGGAAATTGATGCCACACAAATGTCACTGCCTATGAACACAGCTGTGATTTGAACCCAGATATAGCTGAAGTAGAATAGGGAGGTGGTGGAAGCTCTCCTTAGTGAGTGCCCCTTCCTTAGGGTAGGAAGGAGTCTGGGGGTAAAGTCAAGGGTGGGGCATAAGTCCACTGGACAAGCTGATTTGTTCAGTTCTCTCTTAATTAATGCATTTATTGAACTTCTGTGTACCAAGCTTTGGTACTCAAGAAGCTTAGATCCATCTCTGCCTTTAGTTTAGAGACAAATGAAAAGCCAAGTTTAAAAAAATGCATGGAAATCTTTTAAAAATTGTAAGTTGTGCTAAATGCTGGGGGAGGATGATGCCTGAGGGATTGAAGGAGATATCTGAACTCTGAACTTAAGGAATCAGCCACTGAAAATAGTGGAAAGTGTTTTCTGAGTCCCCAAACAGGATGGAGCTGGTGTGTTTGAGTAATGCCAGGAAGCCCCTGTGGCTAGAATGGAGAGGAAGTGGAGAGGTAAAGGTATATGTCTGGAGAGGGGACCCCATATGGCCTTGGGAGTTAGAGTGTTATTTTGCTGTGATGAGGTTACTGGTATGGGAAACATCTCCCTCATCCTTAATCCTGCCTGCTTCCATCTGAAACCCATGACCAGTTTAAGGAGACCATGCCCCACCCCTGCTCATTCACTCCCCATGGCTCTCAGGTGCCCTGGGGATTAAGTGCCAGCTCTCCTCTCGCCCCCTTGAAATAGGCTGTGATCCCAACCCCTCATTTTGCAGATGAGGCAACAGGCTGAGAGAAGGGAAGTGCCTTGCCTCCATCTGGCTTTTTCACATCTGAATTGAGTCAGAAAAACCAACGTTTTGGTTTACATTAGAAGGGTGCCTTTCCTTACCTGGACCATGTGAGGCTCTGCACCTGGAAAATGGGGGCAGAAACATATCGTTGGGGTTGTTGGAAAGGGCTGTCGCTTACTGGCGGGCTGCACTTCAATCCTTCTCAAAGCTCCCACTTCACTCAGAATAAAACCCACATCCTTTCCCATCTTCCCCACCGGCCAGCCACACTGCCTTTCGCATCCTCCACCTGCCAGGCTTGGTTACACCTCTGAGGCTTTTCACTGGCTGTTCCCTCCCCCTTCCCATTCAAGACTTGGCCTACAAGTTCACCTCCTCCTCACTCCATTCTTTTCTCTCTTTGCCAATCATGTACCATCCCATCGCCTGGGGTGTGGCACGTGCCTTTTTCTGTTCCTCACTGATGAATCTGCATGAGCAATGGGCCAACGTATTCTTCCAACCATAGCCATAGAGCCAGCTTAGTTTCGAAGGGACAAAATCTCAGGGAACCAGGGTGGGTGTACCATTTGTTAGCCTGAGAAACAGACTCACCTCTGGGTCCGCTGAGGAGCCTGGGGCTGATCCAACAGACTCACCTGAGGGCTGAGTGCAGAGCCCCTAAGAAAGCACTTCATAAGTGTGTTTCCCACGGCCAGTGTTAAAGAGTGGGGCATCAATAAGGATGTCACAGGTAGGCTGGTCTAGGCTTAGGTTTTGTTTTTTTTGTTTTAATATATTTTATTGATTTTGTACAGAGGAAGGGAGAGTGATAGAAACATCGATGAGAGTCATCGATCAGCTGCCTCTTGCACACCCCCTACTGGGGATATGCCCGCAACCAAGGTACATGCCCTTGACCGGAATCGAACCCGGGACCCTTCAGTCCCCAAGCCAACGCTCTATCCATTGAGCCAAACCGGTCTCGGCTAGGCTTAGGTTTAATGTGTTATCAGCCATGGTGAAACCGAGCTGGCTGTTGGGGAGGGCAGTTAGCACCTACCACCAGAGGCAGGGATGCTTCAACAACAAAAACAAGAACCAGAAAGAAAGAAAAAAAAAAAAAGCACCTAGGAAAACACTGGTAACAGATTACCCAGTGATAACAGGTCTCAGATAGTATGAAAAACTTGAAACCATATGGCGTGAGCCTCTAAAAACAAATTTTCACAAGTAATTGCTCATTTCAGGGCCTGGCTGAGTAGCTCCATCTGTACTTAAAACCTGCACCTGTAATATTGTGTCCGGCTGCAGACTTAAAGTGGAGCCAAGCCTGAAAAGCGCTCTGAAAAAACCCACCACTCAGGGTGGAAACTGGAAGGGGTTTAAAACCAGCCCAAAGGGAAAAACCCATTGGAGTCTCAGCCACTCCCCCAGGCCACAAAGCTGCTGGTTTTGGTGGAGATGGAGGCTCAGGGGTGAGACCAGTGCCCAGCTGGGAAGGACTCCCCCCACATGGTAAGTGAAGTCCCAAGGAAGCCCAATAAGCAGATTTCTTATTCTTTGCTTCCATCTTAACAAAGGGTCACTCCGCTGCACTTACCCAGTTCCTAGCCTGCCCCATACATGGACTAAACAATGCAGGAAAACCAGAGCCGAGGGGACAAAAGAAAAATATAGCCAACGCATCATTTCTTTATTGTGTTTCAGATCTAAAACTTCCTTGTGACATTATGTATAGCCATTTATTCCAGCCTGTTTATGGAGCTTCTGGTTTGATCAACCTTTTGGTTTTACATTATCAGCAAAGCTTTACTCAAAGTAAATACAAGTGACCCCCCTCCCCAAATCTACCTCCCTGCACTAGTGTAACTGTTTATTATACTTTGCTAAGGATTATAAAACTTTAGCTGTCATTTAAGAAAATATCTATTTTTTCATTTATTTCAGAAAGGAAGAGATAGAAACATCAATAATGAGAATAAGCTGACTCTTGTGCGTGCGCGCACACACACACACACACACTGGGGATCGAGCCTGCAACCCAATCATGTGCCCTTGACCAGAATCAAATGCAAGACTCTTTAGTCTGCAGGCTAATGCTCTATCCACTGAGCCAAACCAGCTAGGGCATAGCTGTTATTTTAATGAAAGCTCGGAGTTCTTTAAGCAATGTCATGTGCAGCATATAACTCGGCATACACACACACACACACACACACAACCCTATGGCGCAACAGCAAAGACCACTTCCATTACTTACACTCCCCTGTGATGAGAATGCTTATCTTACACAGAAAACTCTTCCCTTTGTCACTGCCCATAGGAGAGGTGTGTGGAACACAGGGCAGGGCTGTACTCAATAGCCTTTCATTTCCTCTGCACTTTTTGCTTCACGATCTTCGAGAGTGAATCAGAGGCCCCTGGAGAAGGGCCATTCTCTGCCTTGTCCAAGGTGTGGTCCTACCTTCACAGTTGAGACCATGAGGACCAGAGTCCCCATGTCATGGTCAGAATGGCCAGAGCCATGAGCAGCTCCAAGGAAGTATGGATGTCTGTGAACATACACATATGCACTTGGCCATTTCAAACCTGCATTTCAAAATGAGGAATAAGCTTGTGAACCCACACCCCAGTCCACGGAATGGCGACATTCTTAAGTTTCTAGTTGCTGTCAGAGGTCTGTGTCCCAGATAACTAGGGACCATTAAAATTGTCATTTGAGCCTAGAGGCTCCTACATCCTCACTGATTCTGGAAACCGGGTCCTCTCAGCCTTGACACTCCTAGGGGACACCAGGACCCCAGATTTTTCAGGGGGTGAACTTGGCTACTGAGAGAACACACTGTTAACATCCTTTTCTAGTATATTCAAACCCCACACCAGAGGGGTATTTAACAATGCCTTGTCTGAAACATCTTAAAGTCCATCACATAAATACCCACTTAGGGCTTATCATAGATGTTACAACGCAAAGTGGGAAATTGAAGATAAATGCAGAAGGGGTGTGGAATTTTAAAATGGTAGAAATGAACTAAAGACTAAAGCAAGCATATCAAAGGCCATGAGTTTGACATGCTTGGACTAAAGCCTCCCATGTTCTTGCCCTTTTAAAAAATTCTTTAAAAAGCAGTTCACTGTCCTTTATTACCATCCCTGGTAATGGCTGAAAAAAATTTGTTGATTTCAGAGAGGGAAAAGGAGAGATAGAAACATCAATGATGAGAGAATAACTGATATGCTGCCACCTGCATGCCCCCCAGCCCTCCAACCCAGGCATGTGCCCTGACTAGGAATTGAACTGTGATCTCCTGATTCATAGGTTGATACTCAACCACTGAACCACACCAGCTGGGTTTGCATTTTAAAAAGCTACATTTTCATCCTATTAAGTTGTCCTTGATGGGAATGTGCCTGGGGTGCTGGGCTGGATGGAGAAGGCAAAGCCAGGGCCTAGCTGTCCTGTCCTCAGCCTGAGGTGGTTTGGTCCAGCAAGGTGAGATAAGAGGTGGTTCCTGAGCCCAGCTGAGCCAAGTTCTGATGGGGCTGGGGATGAACATATGCCTTGAGTCACAGACCCAGTCAATCTGGATGGGAGGGTGGTGGCACTTGAGCTGTCATTTTAATAAAACGCACCCCTCCAGTGCATGAGTGACTTTGGCCCAGACACCTGATTCAGTTACTGCATATAACTGAGGTCTATTTGCTGGGAGTGGCCAGCCCAGAGCTCCTTGTTGGACGATTTGGAGTTTGGCCCATGTAGCTGAACAGAGAGGGCTAACAGCTTAGGGTAGTACGTAAGATGGGTATTTATTTACCAGGCTCGCGCGTGTACACACACACACACACACACACACACACGAAATAGAAATGCTTGCATACTCTTGAGTTTTTG